ATTATCAAAACGTAAAGTACACAACACCATTTGGTTACTATATAGGACCCTCATATAGCCTGCAAGGACCCTTAAAAGTAATTCATAGAAGTCCCATGGACCCTTTCTTTTGTACGTTAAGATAAAACGCTGACATTCCTTTCTGAACTATATTGAGAGAAGGCTGTTGCTAATGTTCTTGTTGTGAGGTGAGGTGAAATTGCCTTTAACGTCGCGTCCAAGATTATTGCACTTATATAGCGACGTGCATGTACGTGTATGTGTTTGTGTGGCTGCTTGTACTAGTCCGGACTGATGCCGATTTATAGTGCTAGCTCACTGAGAAACCATGCCGCAGTTTAACATGAATACCCCACTCAGACACAGTATACTGAACTCCGAGCCGACCAGTCCTTGTTTTAGCCTCTTAATGCCGAGCGCCAGACAGGGTAACAACAAGTACCATCTTTTAACGTCTTTTGGTATGAACCCCGGACCTTCCCCTCTCCGGGCGGACGCTCTACCACTAGACCACGGAGGCGGTCTAATGTTCTTGTGAATTGAGGTTGCTGGAAACGCTTTAGGGATCAGAAAACATTCTATTTTGTTTGAGAGTCGATTTCTGTAATTAAGAATCGAGAACTTCATCCTTTGGCGTTAACGTTCTTATGCACACATAAACGTTTCCTTTATTGAATAGTTCGTATCTTTATGAGGAATTGGCTCAGTATTGCTAACTAAATGACATAACTGTCAACTGTAAAATCATCGGATATTACGTAATATTGGTCAAGAACGAATACGTGAGACGATAATAAACTCATCATCAATCATATTGTCAAACTGATCCTAAATACAACTTCGTTGTCTGGCGGTATCCGGATGATATAGATCATCCCTGCAATGAAGAACTGTTCACGCTGTCAACACCGGCCGTCACTGTTACAGTTATTACAGGAACATGGCGGAAATAGCATCTTTCACAACATCAGCGTCTTAATGGTCATGTCTCAGGTACCAAATATTTCGCATTGTAACACTACAATCTTTTTCTGCTAATATTCTTTAAAATAAAATCTCGGTTGTAGTTAGATCTTTCTGTTCGTCGGATCTCAAATTGTAAGCAAACTATTGAAGAAACGTAAGTTTGGCCAATTTTTAGCAAGTCACAGTAACTTGTCCCCTAGGCGATCTTGAAGCTGTTTGCACCAAATCCAATCTTCGATCTATTTTTTTGCGTGTCGCTCATGTGCAGATAGCCCGGACCGTGTAGGCTTCTGTTTGTTAAGCTATTGTGCAACACCATTTGCGGTGTTTTGTTGCCACAAGCCCCATCGTCAACGCAACGTTAATTCTCTGACAATTCATCACGACAGTGCCCCGTAGAATGTTTCGTAGTGTGGAAGTGATTGGGTGGGACGGTGAGAGAGTACGCGTGTGTGTCCACGTACTGCGGCAGTGATTGTATGGGTCTATCACTGCAGGGGAAAGCAGAAATGGCCTTTACGCATTGTACCAAATGGAGAATCGAACCCGTGCCTTAGGCGCGATGAGCGAACGCTTCCACCACAAGGCTCAACCTTACATGTGATAGAACATGCCTAGATGCAGACCCCGCTTTATAACATTGAATACATTAATGTAAACTGTGTTCTCTCCAAATTATTCTAATGAATGCCATCTTAATGGGAATAATACTAATAAAATAGATGACACCTGATTAATACAGGTCCATCTCAGTCCCGTGGGGGTTACGGATTAATATAAGAGCTAATGCTGGTTGTTAGAGTCAACATAACCTGTCGAACGAAAGAGAGGACACACTCATGTTTCATGATGGCTTAAAATGAAACGAAATGGAATTCGATTGTGATGTATTCGATACGCGATATTACATGCATCATATAGACGATTATCGCACAACAAATCAGACCTAGTAACGTTTTGAAAACGTTTGTAATGTGTGATTTTCAAGTGTATACATTTGCTAGTTACTTGATCAAATGTCAGTTCTAGGCTTTGTTTCTCTCTAGATAGTGATCACCTTCATGCGTCAAAACTCCCGGTCTTAATCAACAGAATTCAGTTGTTCGTGATTGGATATTCCCGACGGTGTATAACATCCCAGTTCTCTTCATGTGTGGTTGCCACGGGTGATAATGGCAATCAGAGAAGCGCGTATGATGTTCAGGCAGAGGGGCATTACTGTGTTGCGCGGGCGTGACGCACTTACACAAAGAGATTCTAGGGCCGCGATACTCCCATACTTCGACATTGACTTACACAAATCGTGACACATTATTTTGTGCTAGCGGGCCTGATGTGGGCATTATACGGGTGCTTCTAGTTGTCTTCTTGAACATTGATTAAACAGATTAAAAGTCTAGATCTCGTCCAACAACACAATGAAAAGAACTAAATACCGTAGATATAAAGATATTTTCAGTTCTTTTCATTGTGTTGTGGGACGAGATCCATAGTTTTAATCTGTATCAGGCTTTGAGAATGTCACTGTGACATTATGAAACATTGATGAACAAGTGATCAGAATCAGTGATATACGTGTCATGCATACGCCAAAGACTTCTCCAGGTAATGTCCGCAATCTCCTTTCATCAACCTAACTCGTCAATAATAAAGGCAAGGGATGTCTCCATCACCGATAAGTTATCAAATGTAATACAAAACATTATAGCCCAACATGTACCAGTGCTGACTGAGGTAATCCGCAGTGTCTACTTGCGTGGGGGTCGGTGTATGCGGGGGTGGGATCGGTGTGTGTGGGTGGGGGCGCGGTTTTGTTTCATGTGATGGAGTCAGTATCCCTGGTTCTCTCTGATTCATCAATCACTCTGATACAGGTAACAGAACACGCGACATTTTGACGCAGACATGTCTCTCGCTGGTTGGACAAACATACTCACACCACATCATTTTGACATGCTATTCTTTCGGAATTTGGGTCACTACCGTGACATTAAAAAGTGATACCACCAAAAGAATATCGCAAGGATCATAAGGTATATTACGAGTATTACATTGGATTCGCCTGCAATGTTTTAATATAGGAAACATCTGCCAAGTATTAACGTCATTAACTGTTCATATTTCAAACGACAGTTATAATTATAGATCTCTGATTATCATATAAATTTGAATGTTTTCATTGGTAATGACCCTGAAGTAATTTTTGAGCTGACTTTGAACTATGTGTGTCTTTCATGGTACGCTGTCTAATGCATCCACTATGGGGATGCTCTATTGTCTATACAGCTACGTCACTGCATGACTTTACCCTCCCACTTTTGTTTTGGATGGGAGTATGTCGTGATATCTGAGGGACGTGTTTGTAACGGCAAAATTTTGAGACGCAAACATATTTGTTTCATAACATTCATTTGTATTGAGGAGAGGCGAGACCAAATGAAATTTAACGTAGCTTTCGGGTGTTGTTTCATCAACCCGGGGACTCTACTCAGAATCTTGGTATTTGTTTCCTAATCAGGATGATAAGGATTTCTAATGATTATGGAAAGGGTTTTGTTTCATCAACCCGGGACTCTACTCTGAATCTTGGTATTTGTTTCCTAATCAGGATGATAAGGATTTCTAGTGATTATGGAAAGGGTTTTGTTTCATCAACCCGGGACTCTACTCAGAATATTGGTATTTGTTTCCTAATCAGGATGATAAGGATTTCTAATGATTATGGAAAGAGTTTTGTTACATCAACCCTGGGACTCTACTCAGAATCTTGGTATTTGTTTCCTAATCAGGATGATAAAGATTTCTAATGATTATGGAAAGGGTTTTGTTACATCAACCCGGGACTCTACTCAGAATCTTGGTATTTGTTTCCTAATCAGGATGATAAGGATTTCTAATGATTATGGAAAGGGTTTTGTTACATCAACCCTGGGACTCTACTCAGAATCTTGGTATTTGTTTCCTAATCAGGATGATAAGGATTTCTAATGATTATGGAAAGGGTTTTGTTACATCAACCCGGGACTCTACTCAGAATCTTGGTATTTGTTTCCTAATCAGGATGATAAGGATTTCTAGTGATTATGGAAAGGGTGTTGTTTCATCAACCCGGGGACTCTACTCAGAATCTTGGTATTTGTTTCCTAATCAGGATGATAAGGATTTCTAATGATTATGGAAAGGGTTTTGTTACATCAACCCGGGACTCTACTCGTAATCTTGGTATTTGTTTCCTTATCAGGATGATAAGGATTTCTAGTGATTATGGAAAGGGTTTTGTTTCATCAACCCGGGGACTCGACTTGAAATTTCAAACTCTTTGATCCAGTTCCTCAAAATAACTGAGATTCCAACCATGTGGAACAACCTGTTGATGTTTTCTCACACTGAATACTGCTGATGGGGATATGCACAAGGGGAACCACTACACAATGAGAAGCCTGTGGATAGTAGTCTCTAACCAGGCATCTCTTGTTGCTGGTATACAGCTGCTACAGAGCTTAGTCTCCTGTGAAGCTGCAACACAACTAGGTGCTCATTAACAGCCTGATCTAACAAACTATCCACATCTTTCATATTACCGTAAATTACCTTTATAACGAACACACTTATAACAAACTGACCAATAAAATGAACTTATTTTTTAGCCCTGACCATTTGTTGCATACATGCTGTATATATGCTTATAACAAACTACGGTTATTACGAACTAAAATTAGTGGTCCCTTCGAGTTTGTAATAACCGTAGTTTACTGTACTATAGTTATGTACATGGCATGACAGATTAAGTATAGTCCTATGAAAGAATCGGGTGGTCGTTAACTTCTTTTGAGTAGTAAACTTGTATTGTGCACATTCATTACATAGGTATCTTGGAGCTGATAGAGAGGGGGCCAGGTAAGTACCCTATTTTAACATCATTTGGTATGACATGGTCAGGGACCGAACCACTGACTTCCCGCTCTCCGGGCAGATGTTTGATCCACCACACTACAGAGTCAGTCTGCTGCTTGAGATCAAACAATAACAAAGGGTATCATATAAAGGCATTTATTGCACTCAATGTCTCTTATAGATCAGATATACAGCATTAATTGTTCTGTTATGTATTTACCGGTCATAAGATTACCTTCCATAATAATCCTTCAAGACCAACAGTATTTGTGCACATCTTACAACTCAAATCAGTCTTGATGATAAATCTCGAATTCTGAGGTAATATTCCACAGAGCCACATATTTTTTTTTTGCTCACAGGGTTGGATGTGTGTATACAATTACTTATATATGTAACACTTATTTTTCCATTTCAACCCCCAAACAATTATACAGTCTGTCCATGCCAGCTTCATTGCAAAGCTTGAAGGTATATTCGCTTGATACGAATCTACCTGATAATAGCACCACACAACTTGTTATAATTGAATACAACTATTCTTAACAAGTTTATTATGTTGAAACCACTATATGTTAAGTTTAAAACAAGACACCATCAATGCCAAACACAGAAAGTCTCCATATTTCTCCTCATGATCTTTGTCCAAGTCACAGAGCAACTTTCTCCTGCCGAAACATGTCTCACAGTTATTCTGATCAGAGATGCATGCTGGTCAACAAACCTGTGCCCTGATGAACACACCTTCTCTCCCAGTGGATACACCTTCTGTCCCAGTGGATACACGTCCTGTCCCAGTGGATACACGTCCTGTCCCAGTGGATACACCTTCTGTCCAAGTGGATACACGTCCTGTCCCAGTGGATACACCTCTTGTCCCCGTGGATACACCTCCTGTCCCAGTGGATACACCTCCTGTCCCAGTGGATACACCTCCTGTCCCAGTGCACACATCTCCTGTCCCAGTGGATACACCTCCTGTCCCAGTGGATACACCTCCTGTCCCAGAGGATACACCTCCTGTCCCAGTGGATACGCCTCCTGTCCCAGTGGACATATCTCCTGTCCCAGTGGATACACCTCCTGTCCCAGTGGATACACCTCCTGTCCCAGTGGACATTTCTCCGGTCCCAGTGGATACACCTCCTGTCCCAGTGGATACACCTCCTGTCCCAGTGGATACACCTCCTGTCCCAGTGGATACACCTCCTGTCCCAGTGGATACACCTCCTGTCCCAGTGGACATATCTCCTGTCCCAGTGGATACACCTCCTGTCCCAGTGGATACACCTCCTGTCCCAGTGGACATATCTCCTGTCCCAGTGGATACACCTCCTGTCCTTGTGGATACACCTCCTGTCCCAGTGGATACACCTCCTGTCCAAGTGGATACACCTCCTGTCCCAGTGCACACATCTCCTGTCCCAGTGGACATATCTCCTATTCCACAGGATACACCTCCTGTCCAAGTGCTAACACATCCTGTTCCAGTTGATATGATGTTCATGATGTCAACCACTGGACTGTCTGGTCCACACTCGATTATTTACAGACTGTTGTCATGTCGATGGAATACTGTTGAGTGTGGCATTAAACAAAAAACAACAAGGGTACACTTCCTGCCCTGCTGTCTTGGGCAAATCATTTCCTCTAGTGTTTCAGAAGATGCATTCACCCCATCATCTGTTCATCTAGCAGATACACAACATGGAAACCATAACTAATGATTGGATTGTAAGAATTAGCAGTAACATGAAGCATAGACATCTGTAAATGACACCATTTACTGCCTGTCAGAAAGATTTAAACCTTCATCCACTCTGATCAATTTCACATGCATGATTTGATGAAAAACACAACAGGAACTAAATACATGTACATGTAACTCACAAGTCTTTGAATGGCCTTTCGAAGTGATACAAATAATGAAGAAGAATTTATGTATGTCAACTTCTTTATTATGAGGAACACAACATTTCGAAGTATATCGGGTGATGAAGAAGTAAGTATATCCCCCAAAAGGTGGAGGTCCTCATATAAAGTTGAGATACATAAATGCTCTTTCTTATGTAGTTTAGTTCTTACAAAAATCTAAATCAAGATGATAGAAGTTCTTCCATAAACTACAAATGTTGTCAAATAATTTAGAAATAAGAAACACACTACAATCGACCAGCATGAAACTCATTTTCTGTAGAGATAGTTCAGTTGAAAAAAGTGCACCAGGTCACCTTGGCATTTTGGATATCAAAGGATCTCTGCTGACAAATGTGTATGGGCATTAATACTTCAATGCAGAGTATTTCAGTGTGCAGTATGGCCTTCAAAGAGACTGGTAAGGGACAGAATAATCATGGTTCCTATAAACATTTAATACACATTAGCATTTCAACTTGTTCATTCTTTTTTAGGGGAAGGGGGTCAGTCTCATAACAACGAAATATCTCTGTACATGTGTTTGTAAAATATTGTTTTTGTATTTTCTTCTTGTACTTTCCTGTCTGACCCGCATAAAAACAACCTAATCTGTACAAAATAATCTTACTATACAAATGATAACATAATATAACAATGTATCCATCACTCATGTTGATGCCATCACTTGGCTCCCCCAAGGGGGTCTTCAAATATGTCAACATCATCATCACTGGGCTTTCCTGTATCTTTTGTCTTTTTCTTGGTATCCTTCTTAGACTTGGTCGACACTGGGGAGGAGTCTGCAAAGATGTCATCTGAAACAGGAAGGAGAGCAGTTGCCGAGGACTGATGTGTTATTAAGGACTAATGACTGATGGGTTATTGAAGACTGATAGGTTACCGTATATCGCTGTGTATAAGGCGAGTTTTTCGTACCTAAAATAAGGGGGCTAAGAAGGGGGGTCGTCTTATACACGGAGTCGAAGATCTCACATTTTTTCCCACTGGCGATGTCAACCGGCGTCCGATAGCCAGCCCAGCATTTGACAATAAAACTTCGCATTTCGTCCTCAATAACTGTTCCAATAACTATTTCCATACATAAACATGATTTGTATCTCTTTTCCTTGAATAAAGTTTAATAATTTCTGCAAATAAAGTTGAAATGACCCTCGCCTCGATGCAGATTGACACGGTAAAACAATCAACATCCGCGAGTAGAGAGCCGGAAGTACCGGTAAGCATTTGCATATTGCACATGTGACCTAACATGTGATAACCGGTGAAGCTGAAATCAATTCCCGCTGTTTTTACAGTTGTATTAACAAGTGTTGGAGACGGTGTGTACAAGTGATTGTGGAATAAACACGCTGAATGTGAAGCAAACATAAGCCTAGTTAGTTACAACATAGTTAATTGGCGATTAAATTACTCACCATTGTCTCTTATATGTTATTACTTCATAAATGAATTTTATTTTACGGGCCCCAATTTGGTGTCGTACCGTGTAAACACAAAATGGCGACGTGTGCTGGAGTTACACACGCGACCTATCGTTGTAGAAAAAAAACAACGCAAGATAAACATATTTTTATTGCATATATAAGGTTTGTGTGCGCACTTGTGATGTGTGCGAAATACGCATCAGTCGGAAAGCGCATGTTAAATCTCCAAAGTAACTAACTAACTTCTGATGTCCGTGTGCGAAATACGCTACAGTCCGAAAGCGCACGTTAATCTTCTATATCAGTCAGACTTGTGATATGTTTCATTCCCGGTCGCCTTATACACGGAGTATAGGATTTTGGGTTGATTTTTAAGGCGTGTACAGGGGGGTCGTCTTATACGTGGGGTCGCCTTATACACAGCGATATACGGTACTATGGGCTGACGGATATTGAGGATTGATGGGTTACTGAAGACTGATGGGTTACTGAAGACTGATGGGTTACCGAGGTATCAGCTGTTACTGAAGACTGATGGGTTACCAAGGACTGATGGGTTACCGAGGTATCAGCTGTTACTGAAGTCTGATGGGTTACTGAAGACTGATGGGTTACCAAGGACTGTTGGGTAACTGAAGACTGATGGGTTACCGAGGTATGAGCTGTTACTGAAGACTGATGAGTTACTGAAGACTGATGGGTTACCGAGGTATCAGCTGTTACTGAAGACTGATGAGTTACTGAAGACTGATTGGTTACCAAGGACTGATGGGTTCCTAAAGACTAATGGGTTCCTGAAGACTAATGGGTTCCTGAAGACTGATGGGTTACTGAGGACTGATGGGCTACTGAGGACTGATGGGTTGTTAAAGACTGATGTGTTACCGAGGTATGAGCTGTTACTGAGATGTGTTTGAATACTGTTCAATGAGGACCGATAGGTTTCAGAGGACTGATATCCTTCTCACCTATATCATCCTTGAATATGCTCTTCTTCTCGGTCGTCTTCTTCTTCTTCTTGGGCTCCTTGGGCTTGGAGGCGGGAATGTCAGCAAAGATGTCGGTCTCATCCTTGAATAGGGCCTCGTCCTTCACACTGGCTTTTTTCGGCCTCCTCTTCTCTGCTGGTGCTGATGTAGCAAAGATGTCTTCCTCATTCTAGCATAACACACAAACACATTAGTTGTTAGGTAAATAACATTTGTTCTTTAGAATAATCCACATACCGTATATGACCGCGGATAAGCCGATCCCGTAGATAAGCCGAGGTGCTAACTTGACCATTGAAATACGAGAGAAAATGATATGACCCGCAGATAAGCCGAACCAGGAAGTGAAAGGCAAAAAACACTGTGAAGTCGGACTGCAAGACATGTGCCGGTACTCGCAGATATTAAAATGTATAACATGGAAAACGTTGTAATATATTGAAAAAGTCATTATTATTTCTAATAAAGATTTAACAAACCAGTCATCCACTTGTGGGAAGCTGTTCCTCTTGGGTTTTTTTAATCTCATAATGATCGTTATATGTTGCCATCAACAACGAATCGGTCTATATAGAATTATGAACCCGTGAGAAAATATGTCAGCTAGAGCGAAGACTCGCAGTTTGAATTCAGCATCGTAAGCATGGCGTTTTCGTTTTAAAACTCGTGATGAGATTGTCAGTCAGTTAAAATATACCAACTTTTATAACCCCCTTTACACCACTATTGTATGTTAATCCAATTGAATTAAATAAACTATCATACTATGAACACATTGAATGACCATCACTTACTCACAGGCTTCTCCAGTTTATTAAACTAATCTCTCGAAAACAAAGGAATTAAGCCCCTACTCCCAACACGATCGCTAAGCACCCACAACTTGAAAATGTTTGTGTAAACAACATGACAATACCAATCGGCCCGTTATTATCAGTGCTCATTTCCTTGTGTACCGTGTTGCTTTTTAAACAACAGGAAGCAATCACAGTGGTCACCGTTTGTGACGTCACAGGAAACAGCTGATCACATGTTTTTGCAAATGGCTAACGGAATAACTCGCCGATACAGTTGTTTATTTGCCTCTTTCAATAAAGGTAGACATTTGTTCACTATCAATTTATGAACTTTGCAAAACGTACGTAATAGCTACTGGCGATTTCATCTGTAGATTATATATTATAGCTGTGAATTACATACATTGTTACATGTAAAGATTGTGGAGTTCATGAAGAACGATAAACTTTGAACATTCAATTGAAAACTTATTATCGGAAGTAGTAACATGCATAACATTTTTTTAATAATGACAACATTGGTGTATAATAATAACTTTATTGATAATTTATAACAATAATGGCTCTAGTCGTGGCAACTTCCAAACTTTCGGGAAGTTGTAATCTATCGGACCGTCATTCAGGCGATGTTTCTGACAGATCACTATCTGAAAAATACTATCATGAAAGTGTATCCCGTGGATAAGCAGACCCCTTTCTACAGAATCTTTTTTCTGGTCCTCAAAATTCGGCATGTACGCGTTCATATACGGTACCATCTCATGATTCAATCCATTAAACACACATGGGTAGAATGTACTTTTTCAACATCCATTTATTAAAGTATTCTAGGGATAAATTAACATTGGATACCAAGGGTAGTAAACAAGGTAAGACACCAGCATGTCTACCAACATACACAATTTCTAAATTTCCCTTAAAAACCTTTTGGTGTTTAAGCCACTGTGCAGAGAATGCCTATCAGGTAATTATTTGTCAGTAGTTATTAAAGACAGTGGTCATGTGGAATATGTTGGCCAAGCTCCACTCACCCCCGGAGCCGGTTTCTGGGAGGGTTTCTTGGATGCTGAACTGTCTCCAAATATGTCATCACTGGACTCAGCAGGAGGTTTCTTTGATTCTTAAAGGAGAAGATTAACCTCATGTCACACAGTGTGTAGGTGAAGTAGTGAGTGAGTTGCAGTAAGATGCTTACCACTTTGGTGAAACCCATGGGTATGACACATCAGTGATCATGAAACAATCTGGGATTTGAAACTACACCCAACTTATCCTGACATGGTTGTTTGTTGTTTAACGTCACACTCAGCAATATTCCAGCTATATGACAGCAGCCTTTAAAATAACTGTCTGGTCCAGACAATCAAGTGACTGATATTAAGAACAACGTTGATGACATGCAATCAACCAAGTCACCAAATCTGACCACCTGATCCATTTGATCGCCTCTTACGACCACCATAGGTTTTCTGTGGACCTACTCCAACCCGGAATCCCCACAGGGTCCTGACATGGTTGACTGGATTAGGGACATATCATGGCCCTAATGACGAATATAAGACGAGACAGAGTCATGAATTCTATACCCACATTTCTAAAAAGATAAATAAATCTGTGATTGAGAGTGATGAAACTTCCTAGATGTGCCCTATGTACAGCTAAGTGACAACAATCATTACATTAAACATGTGAACCTAATCTACCTTTTTTCTTGTTAATACTGGCATCAGCAAAGATGTCGTCGTCATCCACAACCTTGGCTTTCTTCTCTTCCTTCTTGCTACTACTGTCGGTCTTGGATTCTTTATCTGCTGGCTTAGATGGCTTAGGTGTTGATGCGAACAAGTCTTCCTCATTATCAACTGGTGTCACCTTCTTTTCCTGTCCACTCACTGATGAAGGCTTGGAGGGAAACAGATCAGCAGCAGCTACAGGGGCCTTCTTCTCACTTTTCCCTGAAGACTCAAAGAGTCCATCTACAGAGTCTGATGGCTTTGTGCTACCACTCTTGGTAAATAGTCCATCACTAAACAAATCCTTATCACCAGATTTGTCCTCCGTTAACACTGGAGCTGATTTGGAGGAGTCTCCAAGAATGTCATCATTTCCAAATAAATCTGATCGAGTCTCAGTTTTTGGAGGGCTGGAATCCTTGCCATCAATTTGAGCAATGGGGTTGGGTTCTGTTGGGGATGTTGGTGACATAGTTGGGGAGAAGTCATCAAAAACACCTGAGAGGGCGGCAGAGTGCCGAGCCTTTCGACTCTGGGGCCTGCGTCTGGTGATAATCCTCACTCGGTCCTAAAGAAGAAGTTTGACACAGCTTAATTCATACAACCTAATAACACACTGTACCCATGTGGGGAAATGAACAAGGGCTTTCAGCAAGACAAGCCAACGCTTTAACCATGAGGCTACCCCACCTCCCCTTGAACCATTTATAAATATGTCTAGTTGAAAAGATAATGCACTCAATACCATTCATCAAATTTTAACATCCACAGGGACTTATTTATCCTAAACCTAAAGAATAAAAACACGTATTGAATCCTTAACCTATTCAAGGCAAGAAAAAGGATATCATATAAGTTAATACGACTGTCAATATTATGAACTGACACATTAAATCACAATGTCAAACTACCAATTTGGCTTCACATGAAGACTGATTTGTTTGTTGTTTCAAGACACAGTCAGCAAAATTCCAACTTTATAACAGCTGCCTGTAAATAATCAAGTCTGGACCACAAAAACCAATGATTGATATTATGAGCACAGCACCATGACGATCAGGCAAGTCACAGAGCCTGACCCCCTAATCCCATTTAGTTGCCTGTTATGGCATACAATTGTAAGCTGAGGACCTGTTCTATCCACCAGGGTTCTATTACCTTTGAAGCACTAGGTAGCACTGTAGTCTCCGGTGGTTCGCTGAAGCCCACAGCTAGTTGATTCTCTGCTGCCCGAGGCGGCGCTGCCCCCGGAAGTAACGCAGCGGGGTTGATACCGAGACCTCCCTGCCATACCAAACATATACATGACACGCACCTCATCTGTTATAGACATACAAAACACGTGGAGCTACACAGATCAGCTCATATATACACCCTGCATATATCATATCAATACATACTGCACACATCATTCAAAAATATAAACTTCATACAGAATTCATAAACACACCCAGAACATATATTCTGATAAATATATCCAGCAAATGTCATTCACAAATACACACTGCACATGCATCGTCTCTGTAATGCACCCTGCACATATCAATCATAAATATGAATAATACAATTGTATAATCACTGTGCCCTGTGTCTATTGAAGGAAATGAAAACAAACTACACCTTGTACATCATTCATTAATACACCCTTCACACATCACTCACAAGATGTACAGCAGTTGGAAGAAAATTTAGCTATGACTTGTTTCTTTACCCCAATATGCATGGAAAAGGCTTCTATGGTGTGTATTGACCTGTGATGTGCTGTCAATAGTCAGAGTATTGATCAACCAGTCCATATAATCATCATTACCAATATTCAGTCATAAATATATTCATATGATCACAATGTTTCTATCCAACACAGTTAATGTAGGCAGGAATGGTATTTAAAGCAACATAGAAGAGTTTCTTAGCTTACAGGCTTACCAAAGAAAACCAGCAGAGAGCAACCAAACTATGGAATCTGCATGAACTAGAAATGGCCACACAAGACACAATCCCCATAAAGTGTGCATCATAATGATTAAACTCTACCACATTTCCATTGGAGACTGCAATGCACCGAGTGCATGCGCACTCAGTTTCAGTAATCTGCACAATTTGCATGGTTTCATTGAAAATATGTCAGGTTTTAATCATTACCTCACACACTTTATTGGGATTGGGTCTTTCTTGTAATTTGTGTGGCTATTTCTATTTAAAGTGTGTACAGATTCAATAATTTGCTTGCTCTCAGCTGGTTTTCTTGGTAGGCCTGGCTTAGAGTCCACTGAATCCTATATCAATTAAAGGTTGTACAGACTGGAACTAAAACTCACATCAAAGGAACACCTACCTGAAGTTTCCCTATTTTTCCAGGACGTTTTTTACCAGGAGCTGAACTAGAGGCTGCAGGCTACAGACAGAGGGACAAATGTGACACCAGATACCAAGCCAGGCTACCAAGCAGCCAACAGTATCAGTCTGGCAATTGTCTAGCAGTGAACCACAAGCAGATGCCACAACACAGCATACAGAAAGTCATTCTAATTTACTGCAATATCTGAGATGGACCACACTGATTGTCCTGATGCCTATTCCAGGTCCAGACAATAGTGCAATCTGTGAATCTGACATTATCTCTGGGTAATTAATGTGATTATAAATTGTTGGAGAAATATGCACAATAAAATGTGAGGTGGTGAATCAAAGTGACGTTTGAATCGTTAGAATCGTTAGAATAGTTTGAATCGTTTGAATCGGACTTGCTCGGCTGCCAACTGGTCTGTATCGAGTCCTGCTTTCAGGTTCAGCTATTAAACATGGTCGATATGGTGCAAATTTGGTATCATTTTAAACATGAACACTAGGGAATAGATGTTTCAGATTTTAGTAAATATCTTGTCATTAAATCCTGAAGCTTCAAGTGACTGGTATGGGGCAATCTAAATGTATTTCTTAAAATGTCTAATAAATTATCTCTTTGTATAAAATGTAACAAGAGTCCCTTTAATTTGTTGACTAAATATGCAATGCACTTCAAACACTTCTCCTCAAATTCCTATCACATCACATCACGGCACATGCAAAACAAGCCTCAAGCTAAACATCAAATGACTTTCTTACTATAAATTTAGTATTTAAGCTAAAGCCTGACGCCAAAAAATTAATCAATAAATGTTGCTGCCAGTATTTTAGAGTCGACTCCCGTCTGAAAGCATGGAAAGCTGTCTAAATACTTTTTTTAAAGAAGCAACAGAAATAACTACAATTAAAACAAACTCAGCAGAAGCATGGAACATGACTGAAGCTCACCTGGTCGACGTCAGGAAGATCTGGAGGCAGTGGCACTTTGTTATCTGGAAGAAAGGGAGATAACTCACTTGGATTACTGAATTAGTGAGTGCATTTTATCTTAATTTCTAAGACTGCCCTGAATGAATTTTAATTATTGGAGCAACTTAATTACTAATCGCGACATCTTCATTAGCAACATTAATGATTTTTACAAAACAAAACAAATATGTTTGCATCTAAATTGTTTAAAGTTGGTACAAAAAGGCCCCTGGCCTGCAAGTACTGTATAAAGTGTTATTTGAGTTAAAAAGGATCTGTCAAGTATTGAACATTATCATTTTGTCGATCATTGTCTTACAAATATTAATTAACAAATTCAAATGTATTTAAAAATAAAACAGTTTCTTGCAACAACTACTAAGAGTGTGAGAGTTTGTTGGCAAGTGTCTCTATGTGGAACCTGTGTGACATTCAGGTGTGAGAAGTTTTCTACTTCTCTAGACCTTCTCTAGATGTCCTCCTCTCACCCTCAGAGATCTGCCTGGTGGGCATCATCTTCTTCTGACCAGACCAACCTCCTGGGTCCATCCCTCCAAACATGGACACCGCACCAGCCAGCTTAGGACGGGTGGGCTTGGGAGCCTCCTGGAAGGTCATTTACAACACTCTCAAGCTAGGTCGGAGAAACCACAGACAATCAATGGTAAATGGAATGTGGTAAACTGCACTCTGTCTAACCTGGCATCACTTTAACATTGTGTATATTGTCTCACAGCTACTGGTAGACACACTTCTCACCACAGAGCTGACACAGACCTATATTTCTAACTGATACCTTCTCTCCTGTTATAACTGATAACATCTCTCCTGTTATAACTGATAACATCTCTCTTGTTAAAACTGATAACATCTCTCTTGTTGAGACACAGAAAACAATGAATGTACATATATTTCTGTCTCTGTTGGGTGTATACAGAAATTTTCATTGTCTGTCCCTGCAGACGTTTAGATAGTCATGTACAATACGATATGCAGTTGGTTGAATCTGTCCGTCTGTCTAAATCTGTAATTATTCTATTATGTGTTATGTTTATAAATTTGTTGCGATTGTACTATTTCCATGAGGAAGCTTTATGCAATGGTTAAACTAAGTCCACTGACATCCAGTTTGTCAAGAACACTTACTGATGGGAACCTCTATCTGTAAATTTATAGGTCATTACTGCTGACTTCTGATTTGTTAATCCAGACAGTTTGTAATCACCTGGAATGCTACCATCAGGATCTACAGTGTCTTACTGTATCTTCTTGTTACAGCTTGTCTTAATTATGAGCATATATTAAAGGATGAATATGGCGCTATAATAAATATTCACTCAAAATAAACACAATTCAAACTTGCACCGAAAGCCAACATCCACTGGTGTTAAAATTTGTTTTATCCTTTTCGTCATTAGGCTAAAAAAAATAAAAGTCTTGGCTCTCAGTCATCACCCGAATCATCACAAAGTCTTCCACACATTTCATTTTTATTTCAATTTTCAAAATAATAAAAAATCCTAATACTTAAAAACAATGTGATCCAATATTGCACACAGTTACTTCCCTTTACATTCGCACTGCTTTACTGCGCATCTTGAGTTATGGTCATGGCAGCAATAGGAGTCTATGCTTGTCTATGTAGAGAGGCCATTTCCAAGGTTAATGGTACACAACTGTATATTCGGTTACATACTAGTTTGAACAAGCAAAACACACACAAAAAAAACAACAGCCCGCCCGTACTATATTTTCAAAAGTCATTGCCTGGGAACCAATTCTTTTATTTTTTTAAGCCTCAGTAGCTTTTTTCTTTTTTTTTCTACATTCAAAGCAACTACAGACCTGCTGGGCCTTTGAATCCTCTTCTGACTTGTCCTCATCTTGAGATGCTGCTGGCTTGGGTGCTGCAGCAGGAGGCTTGGGCTTCGGGGCAACCACAGTGAAGATGTCAGCTCCACCTTTGCCATCATCGGCATCGCCAAACAGAGGGTCAGCTGCAACAGTGTTGGAGAGAACGTGATGGTAAGGGTCCGACCATATGATATCAAGGGGGATGGGGGCCTGGGGTTTTATAAAAAGAACTAAATTGTCCCCCAAAATGCTTGAAAAAATTGAAACAATACATGGTTTTGGAGCTGAAGCTGAAAAAATATCTAGTTTCCATACAAAATCCCACCTCCCCTCTATAACAAACTGTCAGTCCCAGATATCAATTGCAACATGTTATCCCATGTGGTGGGTACACATTTAGGGGAAAAACACATTTTTTGTGATTTCAGAGTGTTATTGAGGATTCCATGCCCAAAAATATCATTCTGCAGAATTTCAATGGCACACAAACCCATTCATTTTATTACAGTCAGGTTTTGAATACACAGGATTACACCATGTGTAAGATATACATCCTTATTGCAATCTTTTAGGAATAGTGATACCGAGGCAAGGTCATTGCCACATTGCATGGTAACTATACTATCAACAGACAAATATCAACAATAATAATTACAGAGAGGGTGCTATGTCAAATTTCTAAAACACATTTTCGCACATTATTCTGAATACCTTTTTTCTTCTCCTCTGGTTTCTTTTCTTGCTCTGCTGGTTTGTCTTCTTCCTCTTCCACAGGTTTCTTCTTCTTCTTGAGCAGAGCTGAAGGGTCCATTCCTCCAAACATGGACACTGCCCCTGCTGGTTTCCTGGGCTTGGTGACGGCTGGGGGTGCTGCTGGCTTGGCCTCCTGGGTCATGCAAACTTCAATTATGTTTCATGCATAACTTGCAGTCAAATTTCAAGTTATTATTCATCTAGAACACAAAATCTGTCAGTGAATTTCGTCAATATAAGGCTAAAAAAAATAATAGTCTTGGTTCTCAGACACCGCCCGCATCATCATAAAGTCTTCCGCTTGTTTCGTTTTTATTTTCATTTAAAACAAAATATCATCCAAATCTCTAAATATTCTGCGTCTCGAACATACCACCTGCCTGCAGTTAAATGCTACAATACTTAAGAACAAATGAGCCATTGCCAGAGAACCAATTCCATTATTTTTTTAAGCCTTACTGGCACTGCCATCTATGTAACTTTTTGGGTGTAGGCGATCATATGGCTGTCATTTTGAGTGATGTTTTAGTTTTGACACATTTCATTCCTATAAAAGGGACTGCATACAAGCAATGACAAGTTTGTAGTCCCTCTCCCAAATCATTATGTCAGCACCTGCTTACAGACAGATCAATGATTTAATATATTGTTCCTATCTCTAAGAGAAACATTTCTTCAGTCTACCGAGTTACCAAAATCTGGCACCCCACCCATAAGCCTGTCTAGAGCCTGGGCACCTTGTCCCCTCGCCCTGGTGTACAACCCACCTCCTCAGCAGCTGGTGGTCCTGCATCAGATGACTCTGTTGTAGTGGCCCCAGCTACCTCCACCTTCTCCTTGGGCTGGGGGGAAACACAGGAGAGTTAGAGCAGGTTCCTGCCTTGTCTACTATACCATCTTACATGGATTTTGCTCATAATATCAACCACTGGTTTGTCTGGTTGAAACATGATTCTCAACAGTCTACCGTGATATAGGTGGACTATTTCTGACTGCAGTGTTAAACATCTATCTATGTGAATGAGGGTATACAGTATCACAAATTTACATTCAATGACGATTGACCCTTGCCATGTCCATACTTTTGCAATGTAAACATACCTTGTCTTTCTTGGTGTCAAATAAGCCATCATCATCATCATCAAACAGGTCTGTGGAGCTAGACTTGGTTGTGGCCCCTCCAACTTTCACTGATGGCTTAGCAGAAGGGGCTGCTGTAGCTGGTTCAGCTTTAGACTGCAACACATCACCCGTAGCAGGATTATATGCAATGCTGTTCAGTTATTATATCATAGTTTTGCCTCCCTGCCCGCATTCACAGAAAAGTTAGATAATTGGATGACTGCGTGGATCCAGTGTTTAATTATACACACTGTCAACCATTTCATTCTTATGAAGCTTTTGTGTACACATGGAAACAATGCTTGGTGGAATACTAACTTCCAAAGGTGTTTTAAAGGGGACTGCATGTATAGCTGCTCAGGATATGCTGAGTTATTCTCTGAGCCTCCAAATGATCTCTGTTTACTGAGGCAATCAGACCCAGTGCCTGCTTAGTGATACTTGCAGAACCTTCCTGAGGTCCCTGTTTACTGAACTGATCCAACCCTCTGCTCATTGACACTCACGGAGCCTCTCAGAGGTCTCTTACTGAATTGATCCAACCCAGTGCCTGTTAATTGTTACTCACCAAGCCTCCCAGTCTCTAACTGATTAGATTTAACCCAGTGCCTGGTAATTGTTACTCACCAAGCCTCCCAGTCTCTAACTGATTAGATTTAACCCAGTGCCTGGTAATTGTTACTCACCAAGCCTCCCAGTCTCTAACTGATTAGATTTAACCCAGTGCCTGTTAATTGTTACTCACCAAGCCTCCCAGTCTCTAACTGATTAGATTTAACCCAGTGCCTGGTAATTGTTACTCACCGAGCCTCCCAGTCTCTAACTGATTAGATTTAACCCAGTGCCTGTTAATTGTTACTCACCGAGCCTCCCAGTCTCTAACTAATTAGATTTAACCCAGTGCCTGGTAATTGTTACTCACCAAGCCTCCCAGTCTCTAACTGATTAGATTTAACCCAGTGCCTGGTAATTGTTACTCACCAAGCCTCCCAGTCTCTAACTGATTAGATTTAACCCAGTGCCTGTTAATTGTTACTCACCGAGCCTCCCAGTCTCTAACTGATTAGATTTAACCCAGTGCCTGTTAATTGTTACTCACCGAGCCTCCCAGTCTCTAACTAATTAGATTTAACCCAGTGCCTGGTAATTGTTACTCACCAAGCCTCCCAGTCTCTAACTGATTAGATTTAACCCAGTGCCTGTTAATTGTTACTCACCGAGCCTCCCAGTCTCTAACTGATTAGATTTAACCCAGTGCCTGGTAATTGTTACTCACCAAGCCTCCCAGTCTCTAACTGATTAGATTTAACCCAGTGCCTGTTAATTGTTACTCACCGAGCCTCCCAGTCTCTAACTGATTGGATCCAACCCAGTGCCTGTTAACTGTTACTCACCGAGCCTCCCAGTCTCTAACTGATTGGATTTAATCCAGTGCCTGTTAATTGTTACTCACCGAGCCTCCCAGTCTCTAACTGATTGGATTTAATCCAGTGCCTGTTAATTGTTACTCACCAAGCCTCCCAGTCTCTAACTGATTAGATTTAACCCAGTGCCTGTTAATTGTTACTCACCGAGCCTCCCAGAGGTCCCTGTTTACTGAAGAGGTCCACTCCTGGTGCCTCCTCACTGGCCCCACCAAACAGAACATCCTCATCCTCAAACAGGCTCTTGCCACCAGCCTTGGGCTTGCTCTGCTGTAGGATAGATTACAAAATATTTTCTTAGCAGTTAAACAAAAGTTTATTCTCTATTTCAACTAAATCAGCCTATATCATCTATAATGCAGAAAGAAATTTAAACAATGCTACAATGTTTCAGAAGTACAACAAATTGGCCCACAGTGTGGTGACATCACTTCCCCTCAAGACGTGTGCTTTGGGTTAAGTTAGACATCCTCTCTCATTTCACCTTTGTGTCTGTATTGTAAGTATGTGCACTTGCAATATTCAAAGCAAATCATGACAGAGAACATCAAGGACAAGCTTCACAAAGTTCACATAACGGGACTCAGATCTTCAGCACACCAGCCAAAGACTCAAGCAATAGACTGCACACTGGCCCCATAACTGTAATTGAGTGAGTTATTATTTAGAGCCACATCAGACATCTGACTATCACACCGATTCACAAGTATTGTTCTCTAGGAAGACGAATATTTTTGCAGGTCCGAGTGACACAGCTACTGGCATGAAAACCCCTAAGCCTGCTTGGCTCTGATGTTTTACATCCATAATGCACGTACCCCTAGTTCCCTCATTTTTACACAGTCACATTTTAACTTTGCTACAAAGAGCTCAGGTATATGTGCATAAAATACACAAAATAAATCACCATTACCCAGTTAATATGTGTGTGTACAAATATGCAAGAAACATTAAAAAACAAAAACAAATACCATCCCTCTGCTTAATTACCTAATATATCCTTTTCAACTTGGAAACCTTTTCAGATCTATATTTACTGATCATGTACAGGCATCACACACCTTACTGCAGTGAATAATACATAAAAATACCACTACGTCTGGCCTGTTGTCAATTAGACATGTATATCACTGTTGTGAGTTGATGCAACATGCGACATACTTCAGGCAGCACACATACAGATAGAAACTGGAAGCCCCCTGAAACAGCATCTTAAGCAGAATAACTTAACAAAAAGGATATCGTATTCGACGATATAAGCACCCAGGGCGCTCTCAAAATTAGAAATAGGGGGCTCTTATTAGAATGTTATTTTGGTGAAAAAAACTGAGTTGAAGGATAATATTGTTATTTATGCTGAAATATTTATGTACGACAGATATATTTTTCCATAGTTTAATTGACCATAATTAAGGGTGCATATAACACATGAGTGCGTATTATACACGAATAAATAAGTCTTGTGTACGTTGATCAATCGGAAGGGGTGCTAATTGGAATTGTTCACCAGCCAATATCTTAGCAAATGTCACCGTGGGCGCTTATTAGAGCGGGGGTGCTTATTACGTTGAATATTGTACTCTTTTGTGGAAGAATACCAATAATACTGGACCGACAGGAGTAAAAACATATTGAATACCCAAATAACCCGATGTGAATGATAGCGTGCGTAAATAATCAATGGCTCCACAGATGACCTGGAGCCCTGCACTTTACCCCTACTCACTCCACCCAAAAAGTCTCAGAAGAAACTGGACAGAACCACGGTACCTCTTTCTTGGCAGTGCTGGCTGCTGGTTTAGGTTTTGGTGCTGCACCAAACAAATCTGCATCTTCGACATCCTCATCAAACAATGACAGTGTGGACTTGCGGGGTATGGGTTTCACATCCGGCTTCTCTTCCTCAGGGGTGGCCTGACACAAGTACACAAACATTTCACTTCTCAAATCCACAAGTAGACAAACATTTCACTTCTCAAATCCACAAGTAGACAAACATTTCACTTCTCAACTCCACCAGTACACAAACATGCACTTCTCAAATCCACCAGTACACAAACATTTCACTTCTCAAATCCACCAGTACACAAACATTTCACTTCTCAAATCCACCAGTACACAAACATGCACTTCTCAAATCCACTATACACAAACATTTCACTTCTCAAATCCAACCGTACACAAACATTTAACTCTATTGTTACTGACACTAAATAGATAACATACAAATAGTTTTCTATGAACATTATTACAGGTAGAAAGAGGGATTCTTAAAACTTAAAAAGCTATTTTTTGGTAATTTAATTCAGATGGGAATAGGTAAGAAACATTCATGGAACACTATAAGTTCCATGACCTTGTCAAGACAGACCTAAAAATTCAAGGTGTTTTCAAATAGATGTGCACCCTGAACACTGTCCTCACCTTGGCAGGCTCCTCTGCAGGGGTTTCGGTCTTCTTCTTCAGAATGTCAGCACCCCCAAACAGTGCCACCCCACCAACAGGCTTCTTCTTGCCTCCACTGCTACGATTACAACACATCTCATACAACATGTACAACATCTCATAGGTGAATCGGAGGTGATGATTGTTTCTGATAACAATTTAATGTGTGACACAGGCAACCATGGCCAGAGACTCTTTCATAATGCTGTAATGGATAAAATATGTAGATGTAAAATAAGTATTACGTTATGTGTTTCACATGAAGAATACCATAAAACTCACCTGTCTTTGGGTTTTGACTTGAACGAGAACATATCTTCTTCGTCTTCTAAATCATCATCAAACAGGCTGCTGGACCTCGGCTTTGCTTTGTCTCCCTTCTGTAACAAATAGCACAAAAAAGTTGTATCTAGGTTTTGTTTTGATAATACTACAAATATTACTGGTCGTATCCTATGTCTTTAGTGGATCTCGACTTCTTGCCATATTACTGCTTACTGGTCAATAGCATTCAAATAATGTTAACATGCCACCTACCTACAACAGTTAGCCTTGCAATGAAACAGAACACATACTTGTAACCAGTATTGTACACACGCCAAAAGCAGTTCAAATCAATAACTATATTAAATATAAATATATTCCAAGTACAATCATTATTTTCGTAATATCATCTCTGCTCATACCCCAGTGATTCCACCTACTGGTATTTGAGTGTAAGAAATACCTTGGAATAGCATTTTCAGTCCCTGACGATCCCAGTGTTAAGTATAGATATCATTGAAATAATATTGACAACATAACTCTGTTCTCTTCCATATAAAATGTGCAACTTTCAGTATCTGTGAATACAAACGCAACAAATGTTATATTTGGGATAGCACTTTCTGAGTAAAGTACAGATTCTCATACTCTTTTGGGTTGAGTCCTGTCCGGGATTCGAACCCACACTGCCAGAGTGAGGCACCTCTACCAGGTGTCAGACTATCATTTTTGTGGAAGCCTCGATGGCTGAGTGGGTTAGATCGCTGACTTTGTGTGCTGGCGATTAGGTGCCTCACTCTGGCAGTGTGGGTTCGAATCCCGGATGGGACCCAACCCAAAAAAGTATGAGAATCTGTACTTTACTCAGAAAGTGCTATTCCAAAAATAACATTTGTTAGATTTGACCTCTTTCTAAATGGCATTGTGTGTTCATATAAATACCAACATTTCTTGTCATTGGCTTATAAATATATAAATCCTAGGACCAACTGATTTGGGAGAGTATCCAAAACATGTTAAAATGGTGGGGATATCTTCAGTTGCATAAGCACAGAAAGGCATTAGTGATGAATAGGGTAAGTTTAATACAGTTATTCTTGTTGTTTTCATAAATTGCATGTTCTGATATGTTTCATTAATGTAAAAAAATATCATTGAAAAGAACAACACTGTACCTTATCTTGTGTAGGTTTGGCTGTGGGCTTGCTTGCTGCACCAAACAGATCGTCTTGTTTCTCCTCATCATCCAGGAAGAGACCTGAGGCAGCGGCAGTAGTCTTTGGCTTGCTGGCTTTACTGCTGCAAGAGAAGCATTTTGGTTAGCGTTTACAATGATTATGGTGCCATATTAAACACTTTTTGGTTTGCTTGCTCCACTGCTGGAAAAAGTGATATTCTTGTTGCCATGTTTACGGTGCCATATTCAAAACTTTTGGTTTGCTGGCACTAGTGCAGGAAGAAGTGATATTCTGGTTGCCAAGGTTAGGGTGCCATATCCAAAACGATTGGGTTTACTAGTTCTACTGCTGACAGAAGACATATTCTGGTTGCCATGGTCATAGTGCCATATTCAACACTTTTTGGTTAACTAGCTCTACTGCTGGCAGAAGACATATTCTGGTTGCCATGGACATAGTGTCGTATTCAACATCTTTTGGTTTACTAGATCTACTGCTGGAGGAAGACATATTCTGGTTGCCATGGTCATAGTGTCGTATTCAACACTTTTTGGTTTACTAGATCTACTGCTGGAGGAAGACATATTCCTGTTGCCATGGACATAGTGTCATATTCAACATCTTTTGGTTTACTAGATCTACTGCTGGAGGAAGACATATTCTGGTTGCCATGGGCATAGTGTCATATTCAACACCTTTTGGTTTACTAGATCTACTGCTGGCAGAAGACATATTCTGGTTGCCATGAACATAGTGTCATATTCAACATCTTTTGGTTTACTAGATCTACTGCTGGCAGAAGACATATTCTGGTTGTCATGGACATAGTGTCATATTCAACATCTTTTGGTTTACTAGATCTACTGCTCGCAGAAGACATATTCTGGTTGCCATGGACATAGTGTCATATTCAACATCTTTTGGTTTACTAGATCTACTGCTGGCAGAAGACATATTCTGGTTGCCATGGGCATAGTGTCGTATTCAACATCTTTTGGTTTACTAGATCTACTGCTGGAGGAAGACATATTCTGGTTGCCATGGTCATAGTGTCGTATTCATCACTTTTTGGTTTACTAGATCTACTGCTGGAGGAAGACATATTCCTGTTGCCATGGACATAGTGTATTATTCAACATCTTTTGGTTTACTAGATCTACTGCTGGAGGAAGACATATTCTGGTTGTCATAGACATAGTGCCGTATTCAACACTTTTTGGTTTGCTGAAAGAAGTGATATTTTGGTTGCCGAGGTTAGGGTGCCATATTCAAACATTTTGGTTTACTAGATCTACTGCTGGAGGAAGAGATATTCTGGTTGCTATAGTCATATCGCCATATTCAACACTTTTTTCTTACTAGCTCTACTGCTGGAAGAAGTGATATTTTGGTTGCCATGGTGCCATATTCAACAATTTTTGGTTTGCTGGCTCTACTGCTGTAAGAAGAAACATTCTGGTCACCATGGTTACACTGCCAAAATAGCAAGCACAACACCTTACAAATACACAAAACTAAATAATTAAGAACATCAAGAAGTCTAATTTAGATTTTGGGGGGAGATATTTACAAATAAACACACTTCAATCAAATGTATTTCCTATGTGTGTCAACACACAATATTGTTTGTGTGTGTGGCAGTCACTGACACAGCGCATGAAACAATGAATCAGTAACAGTTAATGTGTATGTTGGAACGCAGGAAACTTGGAGAAGAACGTAAAGATACAGAGATAACCATGTTGCCTCCGAGCTGCACCATAAGCCATGGCCAAGTCAGTTATTGTAATAATGTTTTCTTTACACTGCATTGTGAAAGAGAACCTTCTCGATTTGATGGAAGCCGTAAACATTCTTCAAGAAAGGCTTGAGGCTCTGACTGATTCTACTGTACAGACATTTAGCTTACAGTCTGTGACACTAACACAGGATCTGCTTCTCTAACGGCAGCTATGAATAATTCCAGCACTAGTGTCCCATTGGCTAGCAGGTCATAAGGCATGGTACATTTGCCTGATGGTAGCTGTACTCCCTTCCCCTACCACATGGCAGGGCGTGCTTCAGCTGCCCGGACCATGTAGAGATGTGCACTTACAAAGTGATTACATCATTACAGCTCCGTAACATATACACAGTGAAACCTCATTAATCCGGACCCTGGTAGTCTGGAAACACAGCTTCTGGGAGATATTTGAAATGTCAACAGATATTTGAAGGACAGTACTCTGTACCCATGATTCATTAAACTGGAAAGTTGTTAATGTGTTACTGTCCTGATTCATCAGGTTTTACTGTAGAGAGATCAACATGTTACATACTGTCAAAGGCATGGTTAAGCATATATATATATTGAATTGTCCTACAAAACTTCCCATTACATCATAATATTACAGAGGACTAGTTAACACATGCACTGTGTTACATCATAACATGTCTGTATCCAAAGCTACACACGAGGGTGTGTTATGTCCACTGTTACAGCGGCTGTTATCTTTGTAACCAAGTAACCGGTATGTGCATGTGTCGAGGTTGGATGATTTGATTTAGATGAGAGGGGAGTAAGCCTTGGTTCAGGGTTTGCATCATTGTGTAATAGCGTTTCTTGTTCATAGCCCACGTGTTGTGGGTTAGTGCCCTACCCTGCTGGTGATATGGATTCAATGCTGTCCGCTAATACCTCGAGTTTTGACATTCATGTCACCCTATCGGGCATGGGAGAAGCTCGCTAGTGTTTAATAAAAAATATGTTCATTGAACTTTGGCTGTCAACCTATAACATTTCATACCTAACTGTAGGAGCTCGCTAAATACAATATTTATTCCTAATACATGTACTATCCCCAAACACACTTGTGTGATAACCTCCTGAGATATGGAGCTAAAGTACTTGACAGTGATTGACACTGATTGTACATGCAGATCCCATTTTCTTCATACTTTAGTAAATATTACTCAACATGGTCAGGAGCTGCCATTTTGTAGTCATGGATACCAAAAATCACTTTCGCACACGTGTTGGGTGGAGATTTAGATAATCACCTTGTATCTTATTTGTTCCTAAATATGCATATTAGAACATAACACATCCATGGATATAAAGTCATGGATGAGGAGTGCCAATGTGATACATATTTTATATTGGTTATTGAATATGCTATTAAGTATAATTTTCTTATTTTTCTTTTTAAGATGTAATTGTTGCTATATAAGTGCAATAATGGTGGACTCGACATTAAACCCCATTTCACCTCACCTCACCTCACCTCACCTAAGATGTAATTTGTTCACATATTCATCAAAAGCCAGAATAAGACCAGTAGTAGACTTTTTAAAGGATTAACATCCCTCGAGTTGAAGGAGCTAGTTAACACTGGTACACGAAATGAAAATGATCAAGGGCTTCCTGCTTATGATTAAACTGATAACAGTTAGATATAGATGTTCACAAGTTAAACCGTGGAGGCTAGTCTGTCTTACAGACCCTGATACAAATATATATCAAATACAGCCCATGCAATTCTATAATGTTTTGCAAGTCTAAATGAAGAGAGTCACTGGGCTCCTTTTTATTATATTTTTATTAAGATAACTGAACAACTGTTTTTTTTATGTAGGATATGTTCATTTCAGAGACTAGATTTTAGTCTACATGGAGGCCTGTAAGAACATTTTACCTCTGAAACATTACAAAACATACGAGATGGTAATAAAAAAGGATCTGTATTTTTTCCACTTACAACTAAAAGTTCATACAGTGACCGTGACATTAACACTTATGCTTCCTGCAGTGGGACTCAAGAGGTATGTGTTCCCTCTCTAATTGAGGATTTCCTGTCACACAGCGAGTCTTATCAGGTTCAAACCTTTCCTTGCTCTCTGGAACCAGAACATAGACAGGACTTGTGTAGCTGCTGCTGCTGTTGCCCTATGTCTTATCTGCTTGTTAACTTGAGCTAGCTGTGTAGCCAGCCTCTATCTTCATTACCAGGCTACAGAAAAATTATCTCAGCTACTGAAAGTTTGTAGTGATATAGTTACAAGTGGTACCACATGATCAGCTGATAATTCTGAAATGTGAATCCTATATCAAAGCATCCGGGTGATATACATGTATATCCTTTTTAACAGCATCAATTTGATATAACCTTATATCACAGCATCTATGTGATATATATGTATATCCTTATATCACTGTGTCAGGATGATGTATGCTTATTTGAAACAGTATCACAATTATACTGAAGTTATTTAGTATTATTTCATATCCTAACACAATACCAATTAAAAAGTAATTGTTCTGAAAATAATGTCATGGCCTACTTGATTACTAATTGGTTACTTAGAAAATTAAAAATTAAGAAAATACTGTGAACAACGCTAGATCCTGATGGGACATTTCAAGTAAAACAGAGAGCATGGAGAGGTTCCCAACAATATGTGTTCTGAAAGGCTGGGATTCTTGACAAACAGGATGTCACTTAATTTAACAAGTGTAATAATATACCTATTTTTACAGCATTAGTACATTGAACAAATTCAAAAACATAACACATGAAAGTATAATTACAGATTCAGACAGACAGACAGATTCAACAAACCGCAGGCCTTATTGTACATGACTATGTAAACCTCTCAAGTGAAAGACAATGTAAACTTATACACCAAACACAAATACATAAGATCCAGCACACTTATTTACAATACATACAGCCAAGAGAACGATAACATAAACCAGCAAATGGTGCATCGATGTTTGCATAAGCTCTGACAGTGTGTTAATGTGGCTACTTCCCACAGGCCTGCCAGCACACAGATGGTTCAATCATGGACACCTGTGAGGGAACATTCCACATACACCCTAGGACAACTGCAGCTTGGCTATAATCATCTTTTCCCCCTCATTCACTCAGTCTGTACTGCATAGGAAACGTAGGACCTCTCGCGCAATTCATTCCCATATTTTTTACACACACAGAGTGAAGCTGCACTTGCCATTGATAAGTGCAATACTACATGAATATCTGACAGCAAAATATGCAAGTTGGATGCAACGATTAGCATGATGGAAAAAACAAGTCATATTTGACAGAGTAAGTACGCTATCTATATCAATAAACAAAT